GTAAGTTGTGTTTTTGAATTATATCTGCTGGTTCATAAGGGAAGTTTTCTCTTGCTCCTTTCTCCTTGTAAAAAACTAAATTTTCGTGGGGATAGTAATGCAGACAAAGAAAGGAACTTGGACATGCTGTGTATGTAGCTCCATCTATTCCAGAAAGTCCCTGCAAGTACACACTAAAGCTAGGATTTCTGCACTTACTTTCTCTGCCCCACTTTTGTACTCAGTATTGAGCAGGAAGTTTGTAACACCTGAGGAGGTAGCTTACATGTAGGTGGGACACAAAAGTGAACCCAAAGGTCATAAATTGTTTTTCACCTGAAAAACATTTACAGGTCAAAGGAACTATTAGCCAATAAGTAGCAACATTGGTAATATAGCAAAATCACAAAAATAGTTACTACAGGAAAATTTCCAGTGAGAACAATGTGGCTGTTTTTTAATAATTTTAATAGTATATAAGATAATTATTAAGCAATATTTAGGATTTTTTCAAAAATAACTAAAACATTGTTATCAAAGACTTGCTGAAAAAGTCAGATCTGCAGGTTTGTCATGATAAATTGTGACAATGCAATTGTGAATATTTGGAACCAAACTAGTTTACCATTGTGGATACAAATTAATGTTACAGTCCTATTATCAGTAATATTGCTATGATAAAACACCATGACCAAAAGCAAGATGGGGACAAAGGGTTCATTTGGCTTCCTATTTCACATCTTAGTCCAACACTGAAAGAAGTCAGGGCAGGAACTCAAGGTAGGAACCTGAAGGCAAGAGTTGATGCACAGGCCCTGTAACTGTGATGCTTACTGGCTTGCTCATCATGACTTGCTCAGCCTACCTTTGTAAAGAACCCAGGACCACCAGCCTAGTGATGGTACCTTAGAGTAGATATTGGAAAAAATTGTTGAAGCAATGTACCCAAGAAGCCTCCAGGTGCAACCACTATAATATCTTAACAAAACAGCCTTTTAACCAAAATTAAAAGAAATGATACTCATCAAAGGAAAAATCCAAATCCACCAAGATGATGTCTCAATTCTATGCCTAAATGCAAGGGCACCCACATTGTAAAAGAAACATTACTAACGGTGATATCACACATTGAGCCTCATATATTAATAGTGGGAGACTTCAACCCCTACTCTCACCAAAAGACAGACAGCACCTCCAGACAGTAACTAAACAGAGAAATAATGGAACTAATGGGCATTATGACTCAAATGGACCTAACAGACATCTACATGGATTAAAGCTGGACTTCAACAACAACAGAAACAACAGACAGCATTCAAACTCATGGAAACTGAGCAACTCTCTACTCAGTGATCACTGAATCAAGGAAGAAACAAAGAAAACAAAATTAAAGACTTTTCTAGAATTCAGTGAAAATGAACGTATGACATACTCAAACTTATGGGACAATAAAATCAGTGCTGAGAGAAAAGTTCATAACCTTCATAAAGATAATAGTGAGATCTCATACTAAGGATGTAATAGCATATCTGGAAGCTCTAGAACAAAAAGAAGTAAACACACCTAAGGAATAGAGGACAAAAAATAATCAAACAGTTAAAAATCAATAAAATAGAAACTATATAAAGAATGAAAGAAAAAGTTGGTTCTTAGAGAAAATCAACAAGATAAACCCTTAGCCAAACAAAACATCTGAGACAGTATCCAAATTAACAAATTCAGAATGAGCAGGGAACATAACAGATCAGACATTGTGGATATACCAAGAATTTTTACATCTCACTTTAAAAACCTGGACTCCACAAAATTGGAAATTATAAGAGGAACAGACAATTTTCATGACAGATACCACTTGCAAAAGTTAAATAAAGATCAGATAAACAATCTAAGTAGATCTATAACCTTTAAGGAAATAGAAGCAATCATTAAAATTCCCCTCACCCATAACTTAGGGCTGGGCTGGACTCTTAGAGGTCCTGAGTTCAATTCCCAGCAACCACATGGTGGCTCACCACCATTGGTAATGGGATCTGATGCCCTCTTCTGGTGTTTGAAGACAGCTACAGCATATATATATATATGTATATGTATATGTATGTATATATGTATATATGTATATATGTATGTATGCATGCATGTATGTATGTATGTATATATTCATACTAACATTAAAAAAAAACAAATGGCCAGATGCCAATACTCCACAAACTATTCCCACAATAGAAACAGGAAGAACATTGCCAAATTTATTTTATGAGGCCACAGTTACCCTGATATCTAAACCACACAAAGACTCAACAAAGAGAATTATAGACTAATTTCCCTCATGAACTTTGAGGCAGAAATACTCAAATACCTGCAAATTGAATCCAAGATCATATCAAAAAGATCATGCACCATGATCAAGTAGGCTTCATCCCAGAAATGCAGGAATGGTTCAACATTAAGAAAATCCATCATATAAACATATCCATCATATAAGCAAACTGAAAGAAAACTCCACATGATCATGTCAGTAGATGCTGAAAAAGGCTTTGACAAATCCAAAACCCCTTCACGTTAAAAGTCTCGGAGAGATCTGGGATACAAGGGACATAATTAAACACAATAAAGTAAGCCAATAGCCCGTATCAAATTAAACGGAGAAAAACTTAAAACAATTCTACTAAATCAGGGACAAGACAAGGCTGTCCACTCTCATATCTTTGCAATATAGTACCTGAAGTTTTAGAGTAATAAGACAACGATACAAAGGGAATATAATTTAGAAAGGAAGACATTAAAGTGTTGCTATGTGGATGATAAGTAAACAAATGACCCAAAAAATTCTACCAGGGAACTCCTAGAGCTGACAAATACCTTCATCGAAGTTGTTGGACACAAAATTAACTAAAAACAAAAAAACCCCCCAAAAACAAAAACAAAGCCCAGTAGCCCTGCTATATTCAAATATTAAATGGGCTAGAAAGAAATTAGGGAAATAACATCATTCACATCAAATGAACAACAGACAATGAGAACTTTAAGAAGAAAAAAAATATATCAGAAGATGGAAAGATCTCTCATTTTCATGAATTAATGGGATTAAAATAAAAATGGTCATTTTACAAAAAGCAATCTACAGATTCAATGCAATTCCCACCAAAATTCCAACACAATTCTTTATAGACCTTGAAAGAACAATACTCCATTTTAGATGGAAAAAAAAAAAAAAAACTAGGATATCTAAAACAATCTCATACAGAACTTCTGGAGATATCAGCATCCCTGATTTCAAGCTGTACTACAGAGCAATAGCAATAAAAGCCACATGGTATTGGCATAAAAACAGGTTGATCAATAGAATTGAACCAAAGACCCAGAAGTAAACCCACATACCTATAGACAATTAATTTTTGATGAAGACAAAATTCTACAGTGGAAAAAGAAAGCATCTTCAACAAATGTTGCTAGTCTAACTGGATATCTGCATATAGAAGACAAATCTGCAAACAGATTCATATTTATCACCCTACACAAAACTCAAGTCCAAATGGATGAAAAGACCTCAACATAAAACCAGCTGCACTGAAAGGGAAGTGGGAGATATCCTTGAACATATTGGTACAAGAGACAATTACCTGAACAGAACAATAGCTCAGGCATTAAGATCAAGAATTAATAGGAGTTCATGAAATTGAAAAACTTCTGTAAGGCAAATGGTATTATCAAAAGGACAAAACAGCCCACAGATTGGCAGAAGATCTTTACCAACCTTACATCTGACAGAGGGCTGAAACCCAAAATATATAAAGAACTTAAGAAACTAAACATCAACAAACCAAATAACCTAATTAAAAAAGTAGGGTACAGATCTAAAGAGAATTCTCAACAGAGGAATCTCAAATGACTGAAAAACAATTAGAGAAATGCTCAACACCATTAGCCACCAGGAAAATGCAAATCAAAGGACTCTGAGAGTCCGTCTTACACCTGTCAGAATGGCTAAGATCTAAAACAAGTGACAGCTCAGGCTGTTGAGGATGTGAGTAATGGGAACATTTCTCCACTGCTGTTGGAAGTCTAAACTTGTACAGTTACTTTGGAAGTCAATATGGCAGCTTCTCAGAAAATTAGGACTAGATCTACAGCAATTCCAAGCTATACTACTCCTGAGCATATAAACAAAGGAGTCTCCATCATACCACAAAGACACTACTCAACTATGTTCATAGCAGCTTTATTTGTAATAGCTAGAAACTGGAAACAACCTAGATGTCCCTCAACCAAGAAATGGATAAAGAAAATATGGTACATTTACACAATGGAGTATTCAGGTATTACAAACAACAACATCATGAAATTTGCACGCAAATGGACTGAACAAGAAAAAGAATCAATACTGAGTGAGGAAATTCAGACCCAGAAATACAACCATGGTATGTACTCACTTTTAAGTGGATATTAGCCATAAAATAAATGATAACCATGCTACAATCCACAGACCCAAAGAAGTTAAGTAATAAGGAGGGTTCAAGGAGGGGGTACGTGAATCTCTCTTAGAAGGGCAATAGAACTGACATCATGAGTGAGCTGGGGAGGCGACTTCATGGGGGTGGAGCTGAGGACAGGAGGGATCAGGTGGGAAGATGTAGAGAGAGAGTGCTGGGAAAGCCAATTGAAATTGGTGGGGTGGGAGCTTTAGGATGAGCTAGAAACCTAGGGCAATGGGAACTCCTCCTCCCATGAGGGTGACCCTAGCTAAGACTCCAAACAATGGGAGATATAGAGCCTGAAGCAGCCACTTCCTGTTATCAGACAAGATTTGCAATAGAGGTATTGGGACAACCCAGTCACAAAACTTTCAACCTATAATTTGCCCTGCCTATAAGATGTGCAGGGGTAAAGATAGAGCAGAAATTTAGGGAAAGGCCAACCAACCATGGTCTGGCTTGAGATCTACACCATGAGAGGGAGTCCACCCCAGACACGGTTAATGATATTAAGTAAGGTTAGAGAACATTCTGTATTAAGCTAATTACCTTTATGTCCTTTATTTTCTGCTTTTCAAAATTGTCAATAGTTTCCTCCAAATGACGACTTGTGCGGGTAGCATCAATTGTGGCTCTCTGTAATTCAGTTTCTGCCTAAAAAAGTGAATGCCCCAACAAAAGAAAAATTCATAAGAATCCATGTAGATAAATCTTTTGGTGAAAGTTACCATTTTACTGTTGGCTTTCTGGCCTAAAAGTGTAACTGTTCAAATTTACCTTTTACCACATACAACAAAAGCACTATATTAGATAGTATGTACAACACAGAGCTTTAAGTCTGTTAAGAGACATTTAATCTCAAACAATAGTCCTTTCTTTAAAACTATTTCTCCTGTTGCCCGTGGATGTACTGTGAAACTACTTTCTGTTTTCTACTGCTTCCCTCCACTTCAATCTGTGCTGTTTATCTCACTGTCCTTTTCCCTCAAAGAAAAGACTTGTAATTGGTTACTATTTTCAGTGCTCTCACATTGTATTTATCTGTGATACAGATTATCTGACACGACTTCTTTATATATTAAATGAAATAAAATAGATCTTCGTGAAGGACTAAGAGTACACATTAAGAAGACCCACAGCTATAGTGATTCCCACTGCAGAGAATCCAAGTTTTTATTATTACAACATGTAAGTGCTTGAGGCTAGGGAGACTCAAGTGTTTACTTTTAAGAGTTCCCCAAATGAATGATATATAATTTTAAGTTTTTGAGGCAGGGTCTCCTTATAGAGCCAGTGCTGTCCTAGAATTTTCTTATACAGGCTGATTGTGAACTCATGACTCTGCCTCTTGACTGCTTATTACAGGCGTGTGTCACCATATCTGCATGTCTATATCTGTATGTATACAGTTTTGGAATATATATAACATGTGTATGCTGGCTGTAAGCTTACTATCTGGTGGAAGAAAACTTTGAACTTCTGATCTTCCTTCTACCTTCCAAGTGATGGGATTATAGGCATGGAGTATCACGCTCAGGTTACCAGATTCTTACAAGCTGACAGCATTGCATTGTTTCATTTAGTTTATGCTCTCTTCCCTCCACCCCCCCCCTCTCTCTCTATATATATATATATGCATATATGCAAATAACTAATATATTAAATGGCAAGTTCTAATGTTTTGCATACTATCTAGCTCTGTGCTAACAATTATCACAGCTACTATCTAAATATTGCTATTTACTTGTGGATTAAAGACTTTTTTTTTTTAAAAAAAAAAGCTGTTTTCTTCTAATACTCTAGTTTATATTAAGAATTTAGCACATACAGCAGGAACAGTACTGTTAAGTGCAGAAAATTACAATTTAATTATGTTATTTCTTTTTAAGCATCTTTTCCTTTAGGACAATAGTTGCTAGCAGACATCAAATGTTATCTTAAGCGGTACCAACAATTAAAAAACATACCTCAATTTTATGATTAAATTATTCCTAATAAAGTTTTGTTCCTTATATTAAAATTATATTTGTTCTAAAGTCATATCATTTAACATGAACTTGTCATCAAAGTTTTGAGATATAATACTGTGACATTTAGTTATTGCTTCCTTTTAAAAGAATCTGTAAGCTGAAACAAGTAAACGGGTTTACTCTCAGGATCCATTTCTTGACACACCAATTTATTGCCCACCTGTGACTGAAAATTTTCATAAAGGAAAAAATACATTTCAAAGATAATTGAACACTATAAAGTCAAGTCATATACCTTTATAGAATTGCTCTTATAGTTAGTGTAGTACATAAGGTTAAGATACTAAGAGCTTAAAGGTAGATCAACTTGTATCTGTGTTTGTTTGTATTTACCATATAAAGCATAGTTTTAAAAAAGAAAGACTTTAAACTTAATCCTAACTGGTATTAAAAGCTATTTAAAAACATTTCTGGGCATTTTTTAAAACAGAAAATTCAAATGTAGAGTGCACTTGAAGTTTTGTTCTGAAACGTTCTGAAACTGGCTGTCAGTTACTTGATATCTGATTTTTTTTTTTTTCCTGAGACTACTTGGAGTGACTCCTAATGATCACAGTATGTGATATACAGCTTTCATGACTTTTATTTTGTATCTTGCTTTGTCCTTCTCATCTCCTTATGTTTTAGTTTAAGAACTGCAAATCTCTTTAGGATTGGTTAACCTAAAAAAGCACAGGAAGCAGAACAGCTGGGGTCTCGTATCCTAGATTCTGACGACTTCTATCCTAGCAAAGAAAATATACATGTCTGATCATTATTATATTCACTGAAAATTGCTCAAAATTCTACAGCAAACCAGTCTCGAGTAGGAAATGTTAAGATACAATTCCGTGAGCAAGTAAGTAGCAGTATAACCAGTTAGCCAAGACTCTCAAAGATGGTAAAGGTGGAAGCCACATTGATGCGTTCAAGCTGTGTTACAACCATTCAGAAGTCAGCCTGTACCTTGGGGTGGGCAGTAGATCCTAGGATTATTTTCATCAAAAGAAGGTATTCCAGTTCATGTATACATCGAACCTAGTTGTGTTGTAAGGGTCTGTCTTCACATCTGGTAAAAATACTCTGACGCTCTTTACTATTTTTATTTTTATATTTAATACATTTACATGTAAAGTGTGGTTTATGCTCTAGTTTAGGTTATCAGAATGCTTAGTAGGTATTATCTAGTGAGAACAATTGACCTGTAACAGTAACTTGTGTTTTTCCCACCTTGTTTGAGGTGTGCCATAAGGACTGCTCCTTCCTCTACAGCAGTGTTAACAAAACATTGTAAGTCAGAAAAGTTTGACTCAGCAGTATATTCATTTCTGTGTTAAAGAGCAATATGAAACTTGTGATTCAATCCACTATGCAGGATTTCAGATGTTATACTTTACCTGCCTTCATAGATTCTTTACCCCAAGAACAAAACAAATTTTGATTATTGACTTAATTCTTAAACACTGGTGACTCCCTAGTCTGACAGTTCTCTAGTTGTTGGCATGAATTTGTAGTATTCTCTGGTTTGTCCAGCTTGCTTAACAGACTGTGGTTTGAAATCCTAAGCTCCAATAAATGTCCAATACATATTCTGCACCAGTCCAACTTAACTGCCTCTTTGGTTTTTTTTTTTCCTTTTTTAAAATAGGTTTTAAAATATGTACCTTTGGTCCAAAGGAAGATGGACCAGGTAATTGGTGCAGCCCCAAACCACTGTGCAAGGGACTCCCTTTAGGAATGAAGGCGTTCTTCAACCTCCAATGCCCCAAAAGAGCCACTCCTTATTGGTGTTGGGCTGGGCTGGGCAGAACCAACCGTGAGCAGGAGGGGATCACAGGTAAGCTAGAATGGGGAAGAGTGGCAGAGAGCTGATAGCGCTTTCTACACAGCTGCTAGCACTGCAAGTGCTTGTATGAAATACATTCTAGTTCAGGAAGGAATTGTTTTCTAGAAGCTCCTTTTATAACAAACATTCCTTTATTTACCATGTGTCTTGCTATGAGCTTAATTATACTGAAATCTCCTGAAGGTTTGACTAAAAGGTATTATTGTGAACTCATCTATTTCTTTCTTTTTCTTTTTTTTTTTTTTTTTTGGATGAAGGACATTGTGGGAACATTTTCCCCTTCCTTAAAAGTACTGCAGGTACTAATACTGTACTGAGATATCAGCATTTACTTTTTAACTTACCCAGAAAACATCAACATTTCTGATTGGACTGGGGAGTAGTCAATCATGAAAAGCAAAGAGGATTGGGTTGGGAGGTGGGATGGCTTTACAGCTGCCTAGTTTCTCTTGTGAGGATTCCTAAATGGGGTTCTTTTTGCCACCAACATGAAAATTCCCAACTTAGAACTACAGATGTATAATTTCCGTATACATTTACTTTTGTTCTGAATACCCTACAAAATCTTTTTTTTTTTTAACACCAAAATCCAAAGGATACAATTACATGTCGATCAGACGGGTTTCGCTGGCGTGTCCTTTCTAACTGAGATAGCTGTTTGGCTTCTCGACTCCTTGCTGTTAACGTTGCTTTCAGATCATCCTGTAAAAATAATCATTTTTCTTAATAAAAGTTTCTAACTTAAGAAATAAAACATTCTATCTTAAGAATGGAAGAATATTTGTTTGATCCTGGCACTGTGAGCACAGGAGTTATGAATACTGTAGAGGGGTGTGTGTGTCTGTGTGTATACACATGAGAGCTTGTGCATTCATTGATATTTTTTCAAGATAAGACACAATATGAATGGAAAATGAGCCATATTATAATATTGGTTCTGGTGATGCTTACATGAGCATGTGTATAAAACCAAACACTGAAAAGTAAGAATTTTATTTTGTGTAAATTTTACTCCAAGTTGATTTCAAAAGCAGTTTGTCAGATTTTAAAAATATAAGTCACCACCTTTAAAACAAAAATATATAAACATATTCATCACATATTTTAAATGTTTCCACAATATGATTTTTTTATTGCTATATAGAATATTAGTATACTTAGCAAGCTTGTTAAAAATGCTTCACTAATTTTAAAGTTCTAAGAAAATCTTTTTCAAAGTATATAGAAAGAATAATTGTATGTTACTTTGTATTTGTTATGAAAAAGACAAAACCTCATACCTTTGTCATAATACCAAGTGGATAAAAAATGGACTGACTTACTCGTTTCATCTTTACAATGGTCCCATAAGCTTTCAAAGGTTCAACTACTTTGGCTTCAAGTCTTTCAACCTATTGAAAATTATATAAAATATAACTGAAAAGAAACATAGAAATACCAAAATTTAAATCCTGAAATAAAGATCTATACTGTTTAATCTGAAATAAATACTGTACAGATTAATAGTTTTGAAATTTTAAGTTACAGTACAGGTACAGCCTTCAGGAGGTTTAAGGCAGTACAGCCACCATTTTTCTATGTTCCCATACTGTCAGATATTACAGCTACTGACTCCTAATTCATATAGTTCAACTGTCCAGAAAAATTAAAGCTGAAAAATACAGTGTTATTAGGAAAATTTAAAGGAACACAACCCTCAAAAGCAAACAGCTTAGGAATTATTGTATTAGCTGGATTGTTTTAAGCAGCCACTTATGATTTATCAAAGCCCAGAGAACAAGATAAATGGGCTTAGTGTTGCTGATCTGCCAACTGTACAGCTGATCTCTTTTTATCTAGAATTAAACAGTTTCTCAAACTCATTTACATTTTTGTCACAAAGTAATAGCAATTCTTTTAATAATACTAGTAAAAGGAATTGAAGAAAAACTTTTTATACATATTCAAGAAAATGATGAGGCACTGAACCTTTGTCAGTGTGGGCAAGCAAATGACATCTATTGCTTAAAACAAACATTTTACAGCAAATAAAATGCTTTTTAGAATGATGCATGTTTACCTAATCAATCCATTTCATGTTAATTCTTTAGTTTCTGGAAATGATGTTATATGGATGTTTCATTTTAAAAGAGTTTAGGAAAATGTAAAAAAATAATCATTTAAATATTCAGAATTCTGAAATCAATGTTATGAATATTCAGACCAGTCTAATGTACATCAGCTCTAATAACACACAGTGTGAGGTTTATCCATGTCTGTTCTAACAGTTTCCCTTGTCTTTCCCTTGCCTACCTTTGCCATGTTCATTAGCATCTCCACCATTTGGGAAGCAGGGAAACAGAGCAGAGCAAATGCAAATCAATCCACTTTGCTATTTGATAACTAGCATAAAAATTTCTAGAAAGGGAAAATTATTGGCAAAATAGGACTTTAGGATTATCTGTGAATAAAAACTATTTCTGAAACATTAAATTTCCAGTTACTATGTATAACTGAGTATTGCTTGTTGTAGAAGAAATGTATCCCAAGAACTTAACATTTTTCTTACAGCTATCCCTGAGGGATTAGTACTCAAGTTTTATATGCAAAATGATAAGTTCATAGGTTCTTTCTCTCTTTTAACTTTCAGTAAATGAAAATTTGTTTTAGGCTTTAAACATGAGAAAGATCAATGGGACTTGTTACAAAAGTAAAAAAGCAATAGAATTTCAACATGTCAACTTTTGTAAAGTCAACTGGTATCTAAAAGAAGTCCGTGAAAGTGCTTATGCAATATTAAGAAAGTACTGGTTTTTTAGAAGGATCTCCCAAGCACAAAGCTCTGGTCACTCAAAGCAAACACACAACCAACCTCTCAGCTGTATCACTTGGTTTGCTATTTGTGTTATAAATCATAGCTTTCCGATTGCTCAACTTCCAAACTATGGGAATATCAGCAACATGGAGCCCATTTATTAGTAATTTGTTATCTTGTCATTTTCAGCATTTCCATCTCTAGTCTAGTGCGTTTTAAAAATGCACTTGGCCTACAGAGGCCATACAGATGTTTTCCTTCCCCACGAGGGCTTTGTATGTCATCTTTGCTGAATGCCTGCCTCCTGTTATCCTGTTGGTGAATGCATCCATAAACTCAAGACTTCAAACACACCTGACATTTAGGTTGAAAGCTATCAGGCCATAGAAAGGTTTCGTATAGAGGACCCATAGTGTTACAGACAGGAAAGACGTTTTTCAAGGGTATATCCATCACTGCTCGGTAGGTTACAATGGCAAGTCTACAGTTCCTAAACACTACTTCTTGGGGTTATGACACCAGAACCTCACTTCATACCTCTGCCTGGCGGTAATCTTGAAGTTTGGCAAACTCATCAGCAAAGTCTTTCAGACCCTGCTTTAAATTCGGGGTCTCGGTAGAGGCATACATGTTGATTTCATTCACCAGGAGGTCAGCTTTGTCTCGAAGCCTGGCAGTTTTCCGTACATAAGCAGCAAAGATTTGGCAAAGCTCTCCAAAATGCTTCTCCACATTTGTGACAGCATCCTGCAGTTGTTTTGTTTGAGCATCTCTATAAAAGAGAGAGACAGAACACTTCTTCAAACAGTAAGATGGTGTCCCTTTCATTTTACATGCAAACATTCCAGGGGCATCCTGAAGCTCTGAAGGGCAACATTCCCAACTCTCCCAGAGGCCTGCCCTTCTCTAGGACCTCAAGCAGGGTCTAGGCCTGCCTAGGACCTTGCAGGCCCGGAGAGAGGCCCAGGCCCGGTGGGCCGTGGAGGGATGGCGCTGCCGCGGCCCGGGCACCTGCGGCCTCCCGGGCTCTGTACCGCGGCGGGGCCCGGCCCAGCTCAGGGGGAACGGTCGGCCGGGAGACTTTCTCGGCCTCGCATTCGCCGCAGCCCGGTTGACGGGCTGCAGAGCGCCACGGGGACCGTGCGGCCTTCTCCCGTCCCAGCCCACTTCCAGGCCCTCGGGCCGGCTCCCCTCGCCCACTCGGCCCTCTCCCTCCGTCAGCCTGCACGACGAGGTCCCGGGCGGTTACCGGTCATCCAGATTGCGCCTCAACATCTTGCCTTTCGCGCCACCGGGGACCCGGGACGGGAGCCCAACGAGCGCGGCTCCGGGCCGCCAGGGCGCGCGGGAGCAGGAGATGCCGCCACTTCTACCGGGAGCTGAGAGCGCGCCGTGCGCGCCGCCGCGCCTGCCCGGCGTTTCCGTGGCGACGCGGCGCGCGCCCCGGAGGTCAAGAGCAGGGCAAGGGAGACCAGAGGGCATTGGGCAGAGGCAGCACCAAGCATCCTCCTTCAGCTCCTGCAGCTCTCTAGCCCTCCCGGGCCTCTAGAAGCTAAGGAGGAAAACAGCTCACCAGCAACCGGAAGGGGTCCGGAAAATAAAGGTGAACAGGGTTCAGGCTCTGCTTCTGGATGTGTGGACTTAATGTCATGCATGTCCCTGTGCTTCTCTGTTGAAACTAACTACATGTGGGCTCATGGAAGCTGCCTTTGGAAAAGAACCGGTCTGTAAATTAGATTTCTATTGCTGTGATAAGATTCCGAAAAAAATCGAGTTGGGGAGGAAAGACTTTGTTTGGCTGACATATCACAGTCCTTTGAGGAACTCAAAGCAGGAACCTGGAGTAGGAACTGAAGCAGAGGCCGTGGAGCAACACTGCTTGCTGGCCTATTCAATTAACTTTCTTATATACCCCAGGACCTCTTGCACGGGGGCGATATTGTCTACAGTATCACTGGGCCCTTCCATGTCAATCATCAATCAAGAAAACAGCCTACAGGTCAGTCTGAAAGGAACATTTCCAGAATCTAAGTTCCCTCTTCTTAGGTAATTCTAACTTTGGTCAAATTAACCAAACAGAAACAAACAGCAGAACCAAACAAAACAACATCAGCATCAAATCTCGGCAGCACAACAGTGCTTACTGCTTCATCTTCACTCATCTTTAATTTCATCTCTTCCCCCTGCAGTTAACTGAGTTTCTGCTTGTGAAAAAGATTGTTAAGACACAGTCGAAGTATGGGCCTAAATGAAGGTCTCCAGTTTGAAGAGACACAGATAACCTGGAGCCTTCCATTAACTTCTGACAGGGAGACTTCTCTTCCGAGTGAACTTGGGGTCCAACTTCAAGCTTTGTCTGTTTCTCAAATGCCCATAATCTCTGAGACTAGAGTCCTAACCTAAGGTCAGAACAGTCTTTGCTCATACCCTTTGTGGAGGGATCAAGTCACCCAAACAATCAAACACATAAACACAACCCAGAAATGTGCTACTGTGTCAGGTTTTGTTGTATGAACAAGTTATAAAACCCAGTGGCTTACAAAAATCCACTAGTCAGTTCAGGATTCTGTAAATGGCATAGATGGTTCTTCTTTGATTCTGTTCAGCCGGGTTCTTTCCTGCCTTTCCAGGTGGTGAGTCTGTTAGCTGCATAATCTCACTAAATGCTATGGTGTGGAGCAAATGAGCCCTTTGACTGGGAGGTGGGGAACCAGATGTGTCCAAACCCCAAAAATCTCATTTTAAGACCAGTGGGAGTAAGACTTGCTCCCTCCTTGCTCTGGGCCTGCATGCCATGGTGGCGCGTGTACCCTTGAGACCTCCACCTTCACCACAGTTGAGGTAGTCACATAGCCTCGTGGCCAAATTCCAGGTTTAAGTACCTGGAATTCCTCTTCCTGCAAATGAAGCATTCCCAACCAATAATGTACACTCGCCCTGAAAAAACCCTACCCACTACCCAAGGATTATATATTCCTTATTATTGTCAAATAAAGAGAGCTGTAACTCTGAAAACCATCTTGGAGAAGGCTTATTTTTGCCTGACACTCCAGCCAACAGAGTTCCTAAGAACCAAGAACCCACCTTGCCCAGTGAACCTTTATGCCCTTCATTCTGGCCTGGTGCACAACAGTGCCTGAGTACCCTGAAGGCAGAAGCAGAACCGGCCAGTTTGAATATGGTTTGAATGTGTCCTCCAAGAGTTCATGACTCGGAGGCTTGGTTTACTCCTTAATGTATGGTGGGAGGTGTGGACCTTTAAGAGAAGAGCCTAAGGGGAAAAGGTTGGGCCCATGGAGACTACCACTCTTGGAAGGGATTAAGGCAGTTTTTAAAAAGTCTCTTATTGTTAATTGTCTGGAGAGGTTGACCAAATCCACCATATGAAGTCTTTATCAGAGCAGAGCCACTAACATCATGCCCTTGAATAGCCAGAATCGTGAACCAAATAAACATGTATTTAAATATACTTGCTAGCCTCAAATATTTTTGAAAAATTAATTAATTAATTAATTAATTATGTTTATGTGAATGCATGTGTGCCTCTTGAGTTTATATGCACCATGTATGCACAGGAAGGCCAGAGAGGCATGGGTTTCCCTGGAACTGGAGTTGCAGGCTGTTGCGAGCCACCATGTAGGTTCTGAGAATGAAACTAGATCCTCTACAAGAGCAATAAGCCCTCATAACTTCTGATCCATTGCTTCAGCCCACTAACCTCAGGTACTTTATAACAATAATATAAAGTAGACAGATACAGGTGGCCTAACACGTCATGTAGCAGGGAACCTTGCGGCTGAGGCAACATGCCTTTTATTTTCCACCAGGTCAGCTAGGATTCTTCATATAACTTCTTTCTAAAGTAGCCAGCAAGACATGGCAAGTCCCTACTGTACACATGCCTTTAAAGTGTCTGCCTAATTATCATGGATGCCTCGGCGCTATTGGTTGATGCAAGTTACATGGTCCACACTAAAGTGGCATGCTAATTATCACAGGCCCAGGTGATAAGCATGTGCTTACAACAGAGCTTTGGTTTGACCTCGTTGAAGAACTTCAGTGAAGAGGAGGCATTTAAACTAAGACCCAATGAGAAAGGCTTAATTAGGAGAAAGGGGGATTAAAACTAGGCCAATGAGAGGGACAGCAAATTGTCTCCTTCTTTCCCAAGGCAGCTCTTTTCTCTCTCTAGTATCTGTATGGATGTGGTATCTGTCAATAATAAATTTGATGGCTTATGACTTAGGCAGGAAATAAGAGGTGGGACATCCTGGAGGCAGAAAGGATTCTGAGAGAGTGCAAGGTAGGGAATTTGCCTGAAAGATGTGATGAGATGTATGCATGGTACCTAAGCATAGGAAACAAGCCATGTGGCAGAATGTGGATTATAATAAGTGGGTTAAGTTATGATCCAGTCAGAGGAGAGCCTAGCTATATGGCCAATGTATTTATAAATATATCATGAGTGAGTCTTATTTCTGAGGGCATGGGGTTGAGAGGAAGAAAGACCAAACTTCTATACTGTTTCTGGCACACACACTGAACTTATTTCAGACTGAGTTTTGTACGTGTCATTTCCTATGCCTGGATATTCTTCCTTCTCAGGTCTCCACATGGATGATCCATGTTTTGAATATATAGAATTATGCTTATAAAGCTCCTACAGAGGAGAGCTTTCTCTCCCACATCTCCAAGTTGCTAGGATATCTCCTGTGATGTTTCTCCTTGATGCACGTACTGCTCTCAGACATTAACCTGTTAATGTGCTGTTTTGCTATCTCATGAGAATATGCTCTGTGGAATTAGTTTTCTGTATTGTTCACATTGTAGTGCCAGGGCTAGCCCCCTGCTAGACATTAGTAGGAACTTGTTGATGTGCTGAAATCATCAGTGAATACATGAATGAGTGAAAACCCCATGGTGGAGTGTTCTCTTGTGTGTGAGGAAGTAGAGGAGTGGAGGTGGGTGTGGAGTGTGAAGAGAGGACAGGTAGGGAGAGGTCCTGAAGAGTGTTTTGGTTAATACTAATGAATGTTGACTTTGATCCTTGTGTGAGTCAGGGTTTTCCAGAGGAAAAGAACCAATAGGTTGTGTATGTGTATAGTACAATATATAAATTCATTATAAGGAAATTGTCCAAGTGATTATGAGGGCAGAGAGATCTCAAGGTTTGCAGCTCAGAGGCAACATGGGAGAACCAGCGTGGAACAACAGTTTGAGTGTAAGGCCTGAGAACTGGAAAAGCTGATGCTGTGAATATCACTATGGAACCTAGAGGCCTAATCCTCAAAAGTGTGTTTCAGTCTTAGTCTGAGTGTCAGCAAAAACCAACGTCTCAGCTCACACCAGATGGCAGGCTCTAACCTTTTCAGATCTCTGATTAACAGAAGAGGGCTGTTTTAGTCAGGGTTTTACTGCTGTGAAGAGACACCATGACTAAGGCAACTCTTATAAGGACAATATTTAATTGGGGTTGTCTTAGAGGTTCAGTTCATTATCATCAAAGTAGGAGCATGGCAGTGTCCAGGCAGGCACAACACTGAAGGAGTGGAGAGTTCTACATCTTCATCTGAAAGCTACAAAGAGAAGACTGACTCTCACATGGTAAGGAGGAAGGTCTCATTGCTCACCCCCACAGCGGCACACTTCCTCCAACAAGGCCATACCCACTCTAACAAGCCCACACATCCTAATAGTGACACTCCCTGGGCCAAGCATATTCAAACCTCCACATTTCACTCCCTGCCCCCCATAGGCTTGTTTAAACACATGTGTCTATGGGGGCCATACTTTGCCATAGCATATTAAAAATACATTTAGTCCAACTTCCAAAGTCCCTATAGTCTATAGCAGTCTTAACAATGTTAAAAGTCCAAAGTTCTAAGTCTCTTCTGAAATTCATCCAGTCACTTAACTGCAATCCCCACAGCAAGACAGGAATCACTGGGCAAACTCCATACTCTGTATCTCCATGTCTGACGTCAACGTAGTCTTCAGATTCCATCTCCTTTTCCATCTTTGTTGACTGCAACAAACTTCTTTCTCCTGGACTGTTTCCACTTCCTGTTAGCAGCTTTCCTTGGCAGGTATCCCACAGTTCTGGCATCTTTAACATCTTGGCGTCTCCAAGTCAACTTCAATTTCACAACTTCCTGTTCCAATGTCCTGAATCCACTCATGATCTAGGCTCCTCAAAAGGGCTTTCATCACTTTTCCAGCTCTGCCCTCTGTAGCACTCTAGACTCTGGTTGACTCCATTCCACTGTTGCTGATGTTCTTGGTGGTCATCCCATGGTAGTTTCCTTCCTTCCCTTTCCCTTTCCCTTTCCCTTTCCCTTTCCCTTTCCCTTTCCCTTTCCCTTTCCCTTCCCCTTCCCCTTCCCCTTTCCCTTCCCTTTCCCCTTACCCTTTCCCCTTTCCCCTTCCCCCGTCCCCCTTCCCCTGTCCCCCTTCCCCTCTTCCCCTTCCCC